AGAGAGAGAGAGAGAGAGAGCACGATAATTCACGGAAGGTTCTGAGACGAACGATCGGCAAATTGAGAAGACGTTGGCGAGCAACGTTAACGTCGAAGCGGCTAAGAAATTCCGGAATCCTCGCTCGCAGAATCCGTAGCTTTATTACTCGGGCCTGGCACTGGCGGGATGTTCATCGCGCGCATTCTCCGTTTCTCTCCTGGCGGAGAAACATTTATTTTTGTTAGAAATTCGCGAGCGGGGCGCGTACGTTCTCGCCGTGGATGCAATATTTTTGTTCCTCCTCCTATATATACACGCGGAGAGATACTACATCGAGCCACTGCTAGACGGTGGCTCTCACGGGCGAATTTACCGCGCCCGTGCGATATCGTTAAAGGCAACGCCACCGCTAGACGTACGTTCGTACGTAGCAGTACGACGGCAACAGACGTATTGTGAAATGTACTGTACGTATCGCGACGGCAATAGCAGTCGGGCAGTCAGTAAATATGGGCTAAAGTAGATACCATTAAATCCAGACGCGATACAGCGAGCCGGCCGGCTGCTGTTGCTTTTGCCACTACCGCCTCTAGCCCGCACTTCGAATCGTTCGTCTTAAATTGCCCCCATTAAACGCACGTACGCGCACGTAAATCCTCGGGGTGTCGGCTGCCGCTGCCGCTGCCGCTGCCGCTGCCGCTGCCGCTGCCGCTGCCGCCGCGATTCGATTATTCGCCCTATAATTCGGCTCGGCTCGCCGCTGCCTTACACCGATGTGTGTTACGCCGCTACCGCGTGTTTGTTCATTATGCTACATTGTCGTGACGTTGATCGATCTACCGCCGTGAGATTGCACGGTGTGTTTGAGAAAGTCGCGTATGAGTATACAGCGCCGTGATCACGTAAAGCGTTTCGTTAAATTAATCTTAAATGAAAATCAGGGAAGCGAGGTCAGATAATTATATCTTAAGACGAAAGCGCATTGTGCGTGTGTGTAACATTTATTAGTAAAATAGAAATAAATACTGTTATGGGATTATTAATAGAGCGAAATATATTTATTTCGTACAAAATAGGATATTTTTATTTATTTACTTTACTTTTACTTTGGAAAAACTTGGAAAATTTGGAATTCTCAAAAAATTGATTTCTGCCTTGAAAAATCAGGGAATTTTATTGAAAATTAGAAAGTTTTTTGAAATTGCTCTTTCTAATATTTTGTCTTTAAATTATATAAATTGATTTGAAAATCAAGGAATTCTCAAGGAACTTTTTTCGGGTTTGAATAAATGCTAAAAAATTCAGAAAAATGTAAGAATATAATTAACTAAGACTTCAACTTTTTAATTAACAAGACATGAGCTTGATTTTAAAAATGAGAGATGATTTAAAAAAATATATATATATATATATATATATATATATATATATACTACTACCTTACCTTACCTTACCGTTCGTTCGTTCGTTACGTTACGTACGTACTTCATATATATATATATATATATATATATATATATATGTGTGTATATATTAAATTTAAGATGGATATTATGAATAAGTGCACAGATTTCACGTGAATATTTTCCTATGAACTTTAATAAAGTTGAAATTTAATGAGAAATTTAATTAAGAAACTAATTAGCTTAACTTAAAATTAAATTGCTCAATAAACTCAAGAGATAAAGTTAAATAAATGATAAAGACTTCATTAACTTTTAATGAATGGAAATCATCAATCATATTTTCAATTTTTAACACGAGATATTTAATTCTGAAAATTAAAGCTTTTCAATATCTTTGACATATCTTTACATCTTCTTAAACCACTTTTTTAAAAAAGATCAATGTTAAGATAAAATCTCTAAGTTATCTCGTTTTAATCTCGAAAAGAAGAGACTAAAATTTTTCGCGATTTTCATTTTGATTCGTGTTTTATTAAATGTTTCATGTCATGTTATAAGAATAGTCGTTTTCGCTGTTATATGATTAATAGATGATGAGAATGAGAACTAAGATAGAAATTGCCGTTAGGTATTTTTACGTCTCTCTTTTACTTAACGGCAAAGTCTTGTTCGCATGATCTGATTCGACAGACTACCATCAATCTTAAATGATTTACCTCATCAGCTGATTCGATTAAATCTTTCTCCTCTCCAATTCGGTAGTTCTCATTTTTCTTACCGAAGTTGGACTCAAATTGTTTGATATGAAATGTCATAAATCAATCTTTGCGATTAATAACAAAATTAAATGAATTGTCACATATGATAAAATATAATTTATAATTATTATATTATTTATAATTGTCACATATGATGAAATCTGTTTCTTGGAGTACTTCTCTTTATTCGAAGATCTTAAAAAAGTCTTATATTTTATCTCGCTCTAAAACGTATAGAATATAATTAAAGATGATTCTAATATACAACTAACACTTTTTATGATTTACATTTTAAATCTCTATTATAAATTTTTAAAATGTTAGTTTGTTTTCTACATATGATGAAACTTTCTAAAATGTATTTAGAAGAAGAAAGTTTTTCTCAAATTTTCTCATTTGCCACTACTATTAATTCGACTAATAGCATTGCGTTTGGTTTTGTTTTACAGAGAACCGAATTGCAAATTGAGATCTTTAAACGTGTCAAAGTGTCTCCTGGGCGGCTTGGATGCCGGCTGTTTAGGTGAGACCATCAGAAGGGCTCGCAATTTAGATGCTTTGAGGGCTGCTGGAGCATCAAGACCGGCTGATGTGATGCCTCTGGTGTTAGCTCTGACAGAAGCACCCTGCCTCCAGTTACTGGATTTATCTAGTCCCCGACTGGCCCTGGACGATCATCCTTCGAGGTTATTGTGCCACGCTCTAGCCAGGAACACGACCCTTAAATTGCTCAGTCTAGAGGGATGGACTTTTCGGATAGAGGTAAGTGAGATATTTCGTTGTCTTCATTGTTTATAACTTAATAGTTAGAACTCTTATAAAGCGACGGAAGATTTAAGTCTTTCGTTGAAATATCTTTAATTCTTGTTTAAGTATCTGAAATTTACCTCTTTAAACAATTTTGTAAAATCATTGTTCAAGATATACTGATGAAGTTTACGATAATAATAATCATATTTGTTCTCTGATTAAACAAAAGAACAGCAGCATTTTTCAAATTCATTTTTCAAAATGACATTGATAGAATTTTATAATCATGTAAGCCCAGTTATTTTTTCTTAATAAGTGGGAGAATTTCAATTGTTGACAATTAAATTTCCTCCGCGTTACTACGTTTTCCTCTTGCAGAGGAAAATTTCAACGTAAGATTCGCTGTTACATCCCATGAATAAACGTACACAGAGAGTAGGCGACGAACCCGGTCTAGCCCGGTCGTAACGTCATTTATTTTCGTATTTTCGCGTACGAGAACAACCCGCGAAGACCGGATTGCGAACGGCGAGATAAGGATAAATTAGAAGAAGCGGAAATTATTTGCTCTTCCGTGCAATACGGAAAAGTGCGAGGCGGTAATGTTTCGCCACACCTCCGCAGCCGTGCAAAACTCACAATAGGATGACCGAGAGAAGAAATTGAACTGATTCAACTAATAGTCCAACTAATATCTCGATAACAACGTCCGAAAAATTTCCGTTCGTGCTATTGAAGACCTTCGTTCTCAGGATCATACATAATATTCCAAGAAGTCACTAACATCGATCTTCATTATAAAGATCGATGTGATACGTGAGATAAAAAATTATTATATAAATAAAAACGTAAATTTTAGCTATTTTAGCTACAAAAGCAGAAATGTAAAATTTAGATATCGAACATTTGTTTCAAAACGCTAATGTCTGTAACATCATTACATTCATAGGGCGCCAACAATGAATTATCGATCAAAATTAATGTCAATGCGATTCTAATTAATATTAATTAATTGCTACGTTTGCTCGTTGCACGTCGGCCATTTTGCCGTGCGATGCAAAATTGCAGTGCATTTAAATTATCCATGTCGCGTCGCATATCGAGCGCTCTTCATCCTACCTGATAATAACAAGCGGCGATATTCGCGAGTCATTAACCGATAATCGCCGACGATGAAAGCGAGGAGATCGCGCGACGTTCCGACGCAACCGGTGCATCCGACGTCGCAATCCTCGCGTTCGATAAACGCCTCCTGCGAACGGCACAGCGCTCTCGCAGTAACGATAATAATTAATATTTACCGGGATCGGGCGGGAGGGAACAGCGGTTAAATAATTTCAGATTAACACGAACGTCGATGTCGTAACAACGTGGCGCTTAACCGTTCCGCCATGAAATTTCCGCAGTCATGACTCGCCCCGTGCTCTCGCTCGATACGCAATATCCTGGCCTCCACGTAAATGTCGTGAACGATCTCTCGCTCTTTGATTTCAATAAGCTTAACGATCTTCGAGTAACGTGAATTAAATTGTTTCGTGCTAGGATCTTTAGATGCGCTTCCTTTATTGTGAATTTATTCGATCTTGTCTTTTTCTTTTTCTTATATATTTTGTTTATAACAATACTTGGCTAAATTAAGTTTAAAAGAAGCTATTAAAATATTATATATATATATATATATATATATATACATATATATAATAGTAAATATATATTCTATATTAGT